GAAACACACACTCGCTGCTTTGTGATATCACAGAACACCCCATAGCCCTGTGACTCAGTCACATCAGAGGAGAAAGGTTGCCGAAAAGCGTGTGGGATGTGGGGTGAGAGGAGAGCCCCAAGTCTGACAAGACAAGGAGGATGAGATAAAGGAGGGTAAAGAGACATCCAGAGAGCCTGGACCCAGAGGCAGCTTGGAAACCAACGGAAGATAGCGCCAAGCAGGAGGACACTGTCAAACAGCCAAGAAACAAAAATTGGGGGGAAACTGGAGCCTCAGATTTGGCAACCGAGGCAGCATTAATTAGCGATGGCACAAGCACGCAGACAGCAGACAGGACGATGTATTTGGGGCTGGAACCACCGGCCGTCTGGCATGGAAACTGTTCCCTCCCTCACGCTCCCTCCAGCCTCAGCTGTGTCCTGAGCAGAGGGGGCATTGTGCTTCCCGTGGGGACAGACACCACAGCCCTCCCCTGCAGACGGGAGCAGAGGACCTTGGTTGAAGCTGATCTGTGGTGCGAGTCCAGAAAGGGCTTCAGGTGGGGACGGTCACACGGAGGCACGTGTGGATCTGGAACAAGCGAAGGCTTGCTGTTACGTTTCCGTGGTCCATCCCACCGTGGCCAAACCTGCCCACTCACAGATACGGACCCCAGAGCTCCAGGGGCTGGGGGGCGCTGACCGCTCAATGCTGGCCCATCTGATTAGCACAGGCTCCCCGGTTACAGCTACTTGGGGTGGTGCCACCTCATCCAATTTGACTCTCGGGGCGCCGGGTCCATCTGAGCGGGAGTCCAGTACAGAGAGGGGTCATTAGATTTCGTTTCTCATTCAACCAGCTGCAGCTGACCGGATGGGGCTGGTGGCCAGAGAGCAGGGCTGAGTAGGCGTCTGAGGATCTTCGGCCAGCAGGAGCGAGGGTGGGGACTGATTAGCTCTCTCTGCCCAGGTCCTGGACTCTAACCATGGAGCAGTCTGTGGCTTTGTGGTCCAGAGTTCTCATAGCGACACATCTTCGGGCCCCCTTCAAATGGATAGGGCCAGGTTGCTTCAGAAACATGGAAGTCATTGGAGTTGGTAATTCCAATGAAGTTTCACATAGACACAGATTAGAGCAGGACTGTTCCAGCCAAGGAGAGGTTAGAAGGCTTGTCTGCTTGCTCGGCCCTTCCCAGAGGCAGCTCCCAAGACAGCTCCCACGAGGGCAGCTTGAAGTCCCTGGGGAGACACTACTGTGGAAGAGGGCGGCAAGGATGCGTGTGAACTGACATGAGAGCAAGCTCAGAGAGCAGCAAGCGCAAAGGCTTTGGGGCGTGTTCTAGCTTCCCTAGCTCGGGATGCGCAATGCCTTGTCCTGGGCTACAGTCTGGGGGGGTGGGGGGAGCGTGGGGCCAGGGTGAGAAAGGAGGTGAGATAGGCAGGCAGAGTCATGCCAGGTCAGGCCGTATGGGCCAGGTCAGGAGTCCGGATGTGATTTGAAGTGTGACAGGAAGCTGCTGGAGGTTTTAAACTGGGGGGAGCATTACAATGGGATTAAGTATTTAAAGCTGCATTGTGATGTGGGGGCAGTTGCAGAAGTAGGGTGTGTGATCTGCAGTGGTCTGGGTAGGCTCGGCGGGAGCTCGACTGGGACGGGATAGGGGTGTTTCTGAGCTAGAAGGGACAGGCGTGGGGCACTGGCACGTTCCGCATCTTGACAGAGTAGGAGGGGGTGCTGGGATGGCAGGCGGGCTGTCTGCAGACCCGGCAGGGCGGTCCTTCTTGCTCAGGGCCTGCAGGTCCTTTTATCCTTTGAGGTCTCATCCCTCCAGCCCTCCCTGGCCCAGTGAGACGAGCCCGTCAGAGAGGGGATTCTTATGTACTGCTAGATACTATTTGTTTCCTACAGTCTACCAGACCTAGGAGAGACCTTCTAGTCACCCACCCCAGCTCTGATTGACAGGTGAGGGGTCCAAGTTCAGGGCTGGCCCCACAGGCAGGTCTGCTAGTCCCCAGTCTGTTGCTATTTCTACTTCATCTGCAACTTTTCATTTCTGTGTCTCCTATCCCGCACTAGATTACAAGCTTTCCCCCTCCATCTTTCTATCTTAGGTTTAATGAAAATTTCCAAAGAGCAGGGATCACATCTGATTCTCCTTTTATCTCCCTAGCATCTAGCATAATGCTTGGAACAAACACAGACGTTCAACAAATATTTGCTAACTAGCTGCTCTGCTGGTCACGGGGCCCACTGCCCTGGAGTGACCCCTCCTGCTGCCCCGCGGCGTCCACCTGCCTCCCCACGCCAGACCCGGCATGGCTAGGAGCCGGCAGGCTGCGGGCTGCTCACCGGGCCAGGATCACACCTGCTGCATCCTGCGGCAGGATCTGCATCTGCCTGTGCAGACACCTCTGAGCAGGGCCTCGCTCAGAAGGGAAGGGGCTGGGGGCAGAGTTCTTCTCATTTAATTGTTACACTCTGAATACAATTAGTCTGAAAGTCTGATTGGAATTAGGCCTAAACCCCAAGGCAAGAGGGAATTATTAAGATGTGGCGATGCGTTATGATTTTGCCTTTCTGGGAACCTCACTACCAATGAGCGCTTAGGAGAAATAAAGTGACAGACTTTAAACACTTAGACCCAGCAGCCACGGTCTGCTACTGTGGAGGAGATTCGGTAGGTGCAAAGGATGAGTGTAGTTTGGGTGGGGGCAGGAGGCAGTGACTCTGGGTGCTGGAATATCTATGGCCACCCCCAAGTTGAGATATCTTCTCTAACAGAGGCATTTCAATTCTGTCATTGTGCCCTAGGGCACCCCAGCAAATTAGTGGTGGGTGAGGGGTTTTGCAAGCCTCACTGGCCATGAGCTGTCAACCCATAGGTCTGAGAGCTGTGTCCACCGACCTTGGGTCCTCGGCCTCCCCCTCCCCAGCTCCCTCACTCCCCAGACTCAGTCACATTGTCAAGTGAAGTCATTTCAGTGGTCAGAACACGCTGCTGAGTGACCACAGCCGCGCGTCACCTTCCCACCCACTCGCTGAGAACCTACCGGCTGCCTTCAGATTCCCATTTCCTTGGAATAGAAAATAGAAAAGAGTAGCATGGCCTGGTGGCGCGGCAGGTTGAGGCACAGCTCGATGAAGCTGTCCGCAGCCACTGCAGCTCAAGTTCGATCCCTGACCCTGGAGCTGACCCAAGGGCGCAGCAGACCTCTCCTGTCTCACCTGCTGCTCCCCTTAGCAGTGGATTTCAGTCGATCCGCCTGTTCTGCTCCCCACTTTGTCTCTGAATCCTCTCACCTCCAGCTTCTCTGGCTGCACCCCAGTTCTTGTATGCATAAATAAATAAATCTTTTTTTTTTAAAGAAAATAGTAGCGTGTGTGGGACCTCACAGAACCTTTTCTAACAAATTGCACACGTGGCTTTAAAAAATCATACATTGTACAAAAGTGAAGGATGATGTCATGAACAATAATAAAGTTTTTCCTAAGAAGTGAAAAAAAAAAAAAAAGACCATCTTAAATGAGGCTGGAAAGCTTTTTCCCTTCTACGCAAATCTTGACAAGAATTAGAAAGAACAGAAATCTTAAACGTCCCAAAGACAAGAACTGACAGGAAGTTAAAGGGGGGCACCCTGCCGTGAACGCCACGAACGTCACATGACAAATGTGATCGGCGAGTTGGGCCACTGCCAGTTGGTGATTAGGCCCACAGAGCCTCATCTTCCCACCTTGGTACCCTGGCCGTCTCCTGCACGTCCTGGGCACCCTGTTTGCAGGAAACACCACTGGAATGCTCGCCACTCCGCTCCACAACTGGGGAAGGTCGGACTTCCTCGCTGGGTGCGTCTGCCAGAATGAATCCCCGGACTTGCTCAGCCTTTGACCAGAAGAAACATCCTCCTTTTCTAAAGTGCGCTATGTGGACACCGTTCGTAGGGAGCCCCTGGGAGAACTCCGTCTCTTCGAGCGCCTCCATCTGTAAGCTCTAGGTGACTCAGGTCACAGTCCTAGCTCAGGACTTTCTCACAGCTCCCGTGGCTCCAAGTGCTTGAGCATCTCAGGACAGAAATGTTTGAAGTCAGCAGACAGGCTCGCATGCGCGCACACACACACACACACTCACACTCATCACACTTCCAGATCAAAACAGAACCACCCAAGCAGGCTAGCTTTAATTTGTTAGAATTTATGTGATTTAAAACCAGTATGAAAACGAAGCTCCCTTGAGCTCCCGCACCCCCAGGCAGGCACTGCTTCTCCCCCTCTCCCAGGCTGCCCCTTCTCCTGGCCCACCTCTGCTTCCCCCGCCTGGATCTGCCTCCAGTTCCACCGAGGACCTCAGGTTGCAGGGCGGGGGGAGGCATTGAGGACCCCCAAACCTGCCTGCTCCAAACACATTCTGCCACTGCCACATCAAGACAAAACATATAGACCTTTAATGGAAAGGAACTTTTTTTTTAAATTTATTTACTTATGCATACAGAACTGGGGTGCAGGCCAGAGTGGCAGGGCCAGTGAGAGGATTCACCAGAGACAGAGCGGGGAGCAGAACAGGCAGATGGACGAAGCACACTGCTGAGGGAGCAGCGGGCGGGTCAGGAGAGGTCTGCCGCGTCAGGTGGGTCACCTCCAGGGCAGGCGGGGATCGAACTTGCACTGAAGCGGCTACGGCCAGCCTGCAGTGCTGGCCCTCACCCGTTGCACCACCAGAGAGGGCCCCATCATTGCTTTTAAAGAAAGAAAAAGGAGCCAAAGTCTCTCTGCCTCTCTCCACCCTCCACCAAACTCCAGTGAGCTACTCGGTTAGTATTTCCGCACCGGAGGCACTGCCTGGGTCTGGGAGACTGGGGGATTACCGAGGGGCGCCCCACCCCTCCAGCTGCCTCCTGCCCCGGTGTTTCCTGGTTGTGAGTCTGTTAGGGCTGCTCTTACCTTGTCAGTTTTTCTGCACAAGAGAAGTGAAAGTGTAATAATCTTCACCTCTCCCGCCCCCACCTTTCTTCCTTGTGCTCCAGGAACCTTCTGCATCATCTCACTGTGCACCTGTGTGGCTGGGATCAACTTCGAGCTGTCGCGTTACCCACGCTACCTGTACGGGCTCCCGGACGACATCAGCCATGGCTACGGATGGTCCATGTTCTGTGCGTGGGGGGGCCTGGGCCTCACGCTCATCTCGGGCTTCTTCTGTACCTTGGCCCCCTCTGTCCAACCTGTCCCGAGGACCAACTGCCCTAAATCCAGACCCGAGAATGGGACAGTGTGCTAAAAAACAAACCCACTCCTATATATATATATAAATATATATATAATATACATATATAAAACCGAACTCAATCAAGATGATGCCAGTGCCGAGGGAGAGTTGACTGGCCCAGGCACCCGCATCTCGTCCGACTCTGTGTTGCCTCATCGCCGAGATGGGGACACGTTCCCATCCTGTGGCTCTTCCATCACTTAACTCGTGGCTCCATGATTTCTTGAAGACAGAGTGAAGGTCACCGCCTGCCATGGCGCCCCGTCCCGTCCCTCTGGAGGACAGGGTGGGGGCTGGGCAGGGACAGGGCCCGTGGTCTGAAGCCGAGTCTGCAGGAGAGACCAGCACCCCCACCCACCCCCACCGGGAAGCGAAGCCCTCAGTGCCCAGAATGTAACCACCTCCTGAGGCCGTTTGCAGAAACTGCTGCTCCTGGCCCGAGGTCCTTCCTGGCCAGACCACAGAGGTGGGAGAGGAAGCAGACGGAGAAGAAGCAGACGGAGAAGGAAGCTCTCTCTAACTGCCAACTCGTCGACACAGCCTCAGAGGTGGGATGGGGGGCACGCTGAGAGGCAGAGCCCCGTCGCGAGGGACAGGGCACGCTCAGAAGTCCAGTCTCACCTTCCAGCTGCCTTACACCCAGTACAACAGGAGGCCGCCCTGCCCCCCACCTGCACCCCGGCAGGCGGGAGCCGTGGAGTGATGTGTGAGTGTGGGTGTGAGTGACGACTTCCGGTGATTTCCTTTTCTTTTTTTTTTTTTTTGCCTTTTCACCTTTTAAATAGAAACACTGCGTGTCCACTGTTGTCTCTGTCATCGGTGTGAGTTTCACGGCCCCGGATGGAGGCCAGGAGACCTGGGGGAGCAGTGAGGGGCAGGCCCCGAGGGGCTGCTACTTCTGCAACTGGCGTGCGTGCGTGTGCGGGGTGTTCTCGGAGTGGGGGGATCTGTCGCCGGGGGTGCGGTTTTCTGTTATTTGCAGCACAGCTGAAATTCCCGGCGGGCAGAACCCGCCGGCTTCGCGCCATGGCGGAACTGGACGCCGCAGGAGGGCACCCCGACGTGACGTGCGGAAGGTGAGACTCAGCTGGGCACATCCCGCCGCCAGAGAAGGGGGCCACGGCTGAGGAGGGAGAAGGCAAGTGACTCGGTTGCTGTCCTGCGCCTACCAGTCAAGACCTTTCCCTCCCTGTCGTGGAAGCTGTCCTTTGCCACTGGACATCGGCCCCCTTTCCTGGGGGCCACCTGTACAGATGGAAGAAAACGGGTCCCCTGCAGAGCGCCCTGCCGGGTCCCGTGGGCTCACGCGTGTATGATACCGTGTAAATTCCCGAGGACGTCACTCCACCCCCTGCTCCCCGCAAGGCCGTGAATCCCAGAATAGCCGACTTGGTGGCTGGCACCCAGAGGTGGCAGAAGTGTGGCCCAGTTTCTCAGGCTCCTGGAGCAAGCCGGCCCGCGGGCCTCGGCGCGCTGCGAGGCCAGCCCGAGCGCAAGGCTGTAGTGCAGGAGCCGGCAGGCGTGGGCAGGGGGGCCGGAGGTCACCGGTCTCCACCACCTCCCTGCCCTGCCGGGTCCAGCAGCTGGGGGCGGGGGAGGGGAGGGGGCGGGGCGGGGAGAATCCCCAGCCATGCTGCTGTGGGTCGGCCACGGGGCTGGGAATTCAGTTGCTTCATAGATAAACAGGTTGGGGCTCTGGCCACCCAGCAGCCGTCCTCCCCACTCCCCGCCCCCCTTCTCTGTTCCATTCACCCGCCTCTGGCCCGGCTTCCCACCAGCCTCCGCCCTCTCACCTGCGAAGCACTCCCTTCCCTTCCCTTCCATCAGCGGTTACAGTTTGCCTGTCTCCTCCTCTGCTCTCTCTGACCCTGTGTGTGCCTGTGTGCGTGTCCTTCAGTGCAGACAGGACCTGTGACGCACGCGAGTGGGCGCGAGTGTGGCCTGTGTGTGTCTCCGGGGTGTAGCGTGTGTGCTTGTGGTGTGTGCCTGTCCCGGGCTCAGCGCCCCTGGGGGTGCCGCGGGGTACCTGGCAGAGTGGGGCGAGTGCTGTGAGCTTCCCCTGAGCTTCTGAGGATTGTTTCTGAGATGAAGGATCTACTCCTTGAGAAGGAAAAGAGTTTTCAGGAAAACCCAGTTTTTCAGTTGTATGGGGATTTTTTTTTTTTTTTTTTGAACATCTGATTTCCTCCGTAACAGGAAGGGCCTGTGTGGGTTTGAAGGAGTCAGCATTGTCCCAGATTGAGAGGCCCTGTGTCCCCCTTCGGGACAGTGTGGGCTCTGCCGGGCGGCGGGGTGTTGGTTAAGTGGCCTGGATTTGGGGCAGAGGGCTTGTGTGTGAGTGCAGCACCAGAGTCCAGCTACCTTCCAGCGCAGCAAATGGAGGGAGGAATCCTAGGCCGCACAGGTGCAAACTTTCCTCACGTAGCTGGATCCCAGAGCCCTGCCTCACAGACCTACTGCACCTGCTCTGGCTGCCCTGTCCTTGCCAGAAGGAGGTCATCTCCTCTCTCCACCTTTGGTCTTTCTGACAGACCTCCGCCACCGCCCAGGGCACCCCTCTGCCACGCTGAAATGTTAGGAAGATTCCTAGGAAAGAAGAACCCCGCCCTGCTTCACCTCAGCACCTGTGCCGCGCACCTTGGCACCTTTCCGGCAGAGTGTCCAGAGAGGCAAAGGGCCGCACATACTTGAGACCAAACAAAAAAGGCCGCGTGGCTACAACGGAAGCCCAGGACAGGTGGCCAGTACTGGCCAGTGGGAGAGCTGCCTGGTGACCATGATGCCAAGGGTAAGACCCCCTCCGGCAGCTCTAGGTTGGAGCTGGCTGGGGCAGCGGAGGAGAGGGAGAGGCGGTCCCCACCCCCACACCCCACCCCACACCCCACCCCCACGCAAGCTTCTGTAGCCCCTCAGCTAACTCCAAATCCAAATTGGGCCCGACCTTCTGATAGGATTTAAGCTCAGCAGCGTCCCTAAAGCCCCCAGCCCCGGCCAAGTTCAGGTCCCTTACACACGCGTGCGCACAAGGCCGTGGCCAGTCGGCGTCGCGAGCCCAGCGCGGGCCCAGCGCGAGACGGGGCCCTTCCAACTTGCCTTCCCGCCCTGCCCTGCGAGGCTGGAGGTTCCTGAACCGGGGTGTCTGCCTGAAGCGCTTCCATTTCTTCCTCTCCCCTTCTGGGGAGTAAAGGTTTCTTCTTGTTCCACCCCAGCCCCCCAAGCCCACGCCCCTTCTGCCTCCGCTGTCAGCCCTTAGGGTTCAGGAATCACGTCTAGGGAGGCTCGTCGCAGCCCGTGGTGGTGCAGGTTTCACACGGCGCTCGGGGCTTCCCGGCCCCCAAATATAAAGAAGTCTAAAATGTGCCTGTTCTCGCTTCAAGCCTCCCCAAGCCCCAGCCTCTCAACAACCACCCCCTTTTAACTTCAGGGATCACGATGTCACCAGAGGGACATCAGCGCAAGGCTTAGCCAGGCCCGAGCGCGGCCTCGGCTCTGGTTGGGGTGAGCGGCCCACCTGGCCATGCTGGCCCTTCCTCTGATAAAGGAAGACGCTGATGCGAGTCTGAGAGCAGGCTGCACATCCTCACATCCGGCCACGTTCCCGACTTTAGGCCTAACGCGAATGTTCCAGGGGGTGGTGTCCTGAGCTGGGGGGAGGGGCTCTGAATAGCCCCCACTGGCCAAGTCACATTCGGAGCTCGAGCATAGGGACATTTAGAAGCCCCTCGCTCTTGCCCTGGCCACTCCTGAGAACTTCCTTTCACCGAGCTCCAAAGGTCTGGGCAAGGAGAGGGAAGACCTGCCCTCTGCTCCTGTTGGGGTGAGTTTGTGCAGGAAGCTGCTTTTCTGGAGCCATCCCGGTGCCCCAGGGACTGCTGGCCCCAGCAGACGCGTCCAGGGAAATAGGATGAGTCACCACTAGCAGTGAGATCCCCCCCGGGGGAAGTCGAGTCAGTGTACAGCGGCCGGGCCTTCTGTGCTGCCTCTGGGGATAAACTGAGGCAGGAGACAGATTCTGAAAGTCCACCTGAGTAGACAGACACCCCAAACTCCGCGGCTCCCCAGCAGTCAGCCCGGGCCACCCGCCCTCTTTCCACTGACGCTCTGCGTTTCAAAATGCTTCTTAGCATGGCTCGTTCTCAGACTACGATCTTATTGGCAATGGGGCTGTCTTCCTCCATTGTAGAAAATTCAAAAATATACCCCCAAAGGCTAGAAGATTGTTCACCGTGCTCACGGTCTCCAAACTTCCCAGCACAGGGCTTGTCGGGGGTTGGCAGTGGGGCTCCGGCTGCATGGAGGGGACCGTGTGTTTGGGGCAGCAGGAGCTCAGACCGCCGACCCCCACATGGCAGCGGCCTTTGACGAAGCTCCAGGCCAGAGTGTAGCGGGCAGCGCAGGATGGGACAGAGCTAAAAGAGACCTACTCTGGGCTGTCTCTTTATTCTTTCATTTTTTGTGTGCCATCTCAAGTGAATTATAGATGGAAGAGCCCTGAAGCCGGAACTCGTTAAGCTACTAGTGCATTTCACTGCCCTCAGTTCCATTTCAGCTCCACACGTGACCCGTGTGACTCTGGGCACCGTGTCCTCGCCATACTTGAACTTCCTCATCGGCTAGATGAGGGTAGTGGTAACACTTTACCTCATGGTAGAACAAAGATGACCAAGAGATTGCAAAGTGATTTGCAATCTGAAGTGTCATATCGATTATGTTCTGTTCAAATTACCCTGCCACAGCAGAGAGCCCCCTGGGTGTGGGGGGGGGGCATTTCCAGCCCTTGGTCTCATGGCTCTGCTCGAAGGCCAGTGCAGGGCGTGAGGGCATCTTGGTAACCAAACGGGACAGTCGCATCTGGACTCTCTTCTCTCTTCAGGATCCACAGAGGGGTAGGCGCCTACCTTGACCCTTTCCCAAACATCCTTCCTATTTTCCAAAGCCGGTTTTGCCAAGGGCACCTGGTCCCTCCTGATCATTCCCTGAGGGGCTGGAAAGAGTCACCAAGGCACTAGGTCGACGCCTGATTATTACTATTTTTACCATCTCCCTAACATGTCTAATGGACATGCCCAAGTGACAGAAGCAGATGCAATTCTGAAACATTTTAATGATCTTTTAAGTTTAAGATGAGAATTCATTTTCCCCATCATTTGGGGAAGGAAGCGACTTGATCAAAAGCACAAGGGGTTTTCGAGGAAGCCCTTTAGATGGTGCATCCCCAGGAAGTGTCCTGGGTGGGGTGCTGTGTGAGGAAAGCTGCATCCTAGGTTCTGAACAAGACAAGAATGCACTTCCAGAAGGTTCTCCACACTTTCTGCTTTGCGGGGGATCAAGTTGCAATGTTTGGGGGAGACGAAGGAAAGCCCACGTCATTGCTCCCCATGTAGAGAGAGCCCAGCCAGGAGCGAAGCGACTTTCCGACTTTAGGGGGTCCTTTGACTACTGAGGAACAGAAAAGTGGGTGTCAGCGTGGGAGGAGGGGTGCACAGCAGTGGCTCCTACCTGGCTTCTCTGGCCGACGCTGACTTCAGCAAAGGCAACTCCTAGTCTTTGTCCCCAAGAACTGGGTGTTGTCCCTGGGGGACACTAGGTCTCCCCCTTATCCTCTGTCTCCCCTTCGTCCCTCTCGCTAAGCCCTTCCCGTCCTCCCTGGGTCACCCGTAGATCCGTTCTAGCCTGAGTGTACCCGTGTGTCTGTGCCGTTGTGAGTGTAACGATGCCTTCCACATAACGAGCTCTCTCGAACTCCTGTCATGACCCTTCCTCCCCCCCTCCATGGTGTGACTGTCTTGCTATTCAAGACTATCTGTAAAAATGTACAAATACAAGAGGAAACTGAAAATAAGGGGAGGGAATTGAGACAAATGTATTGATGCAGCCCTCAGTTTTCTGAGGACTTATGTAGATTGCCCAAAAATCCCAGCCACGGGTGGGATTTGAAGGGAGGGAAGCCATCAGCACAGAAGGTTTTTTTCTGGTTGTTTCTCTGACAGTCACTAGTGTCTGCTTGGAACGCTCTGTTCTAAAGGTTTTAGCCTATCAAGGAAAATGTATGTTCCAAAATGGACAAGCAAGTCATCAAAGTCTGAAGGGTGAAGGTCATCGCGACGGTCAACACCAACACCCAATCCGGGGTCCCTCTAATATAAAGCTTTGTCACTGCTCCCTCGAGACCGTGGGCGAGTCCTGTTACCTCACCATGTCTCTGTGCCCCCTCAGCCAAACAGGAATGAGGGGGCTTGAGGGCTCCTGGGGTGCCAAGTCTCCTTGGCCATTCTGCTGCTAACCTTAGAGAGGTGTGCCCCGCTGGCAGGTACGCTGGGCGAGTCTCCCTCTCTGCCGCCCTGGCCCACTCTTACACTCCTCAGAAAGTAACCTCAAGCTCCACAGCCAATCTGCACTCAGACTCCAAAGCCTTTTATCTACCTTTTCATTCTCAGATGCCTTTTCCCACCCACTTTAATGAGCTCATTTTACTATTGCTTTTTTTCAGTTTTGACTGACAGAGCTTTGCTGCCCTAGCATGGCAGAAAGACCATCCAAGAAGAGCAGGCTTAGGAATTGCTTTGCGGTCGATGAA